GGCCACTTCGCCACATGCTGGGGTCCTAAGGTCAGGTAGTTGGGTGGGTGGTGTGAGACGCCTGGCAAGGGGGCAGCGGCGCAGGAAGCAGAGCCAGGAAAAGGGGCAGGAAGGAAGTTGTTCAGAGACATCGGGCAGGAGCTCTGGGCAACTGGAGTTCTGCCACCCACACTGTGGGGGCCCCCAGCCCGGGGACGGAGAATCTGACTCCACAGTGGCCCGTGCCTCAGCCTGAGCACTGCCCCATGACCAGAGTCCGGTCAGACCCCACAAAGCCACGGACGCTCGAATAGCCACCAGCAGGCTGCCCAACCTATAAAGCACGTTTACTCCTGACGACCAGCCAGCATGGTGGGGACCATTCCCATTTTACAGACGGGAACACTGAGGCTTCCAGAGATGAAAAGACTCGCCAAGGTCACACAGCCTGTAAACAGCAAAGTAAGGATTTGAGCCAGGGTCTGTCCGATGCTGAGCCCCGGGCCTTTCCCCTAAGTCATCAGTGCTGCTTCCCTGCGGCCCGGCAGAGTGTCCGGAACTGGGAGCCACAGCGTCTCCACTTTGTTCCTGTTCCCTGCTAGCACCCCCTCTCCACCCTCACCCCAAGCTTCCCTCCCTGCCTTCTTCCGGGCAAGTCACATGCCTCCTGGGCCCTGAGTCACTGCCAGTGGGTGGCCCCGTCACGAGCCAGGTGGGGATGTGGTGGGGGGAACACACCATCCTCAGCAGACCCAGTGCAGCAGGGAGACGAGCCCAGAGAGACAGCTCGAGAGAGAGAGAGACACAAACTGCAACCCAGCCCTGCCACCCCTGGCTTTTCAAACCCTTCTAAATCATCCACGAAACCGGGTGCTTATAAAGGTCAGATGGGTATTTTTGGACAGTCAATATTTTTCAGCACCTACTCCCTACCAGGCAGTGTTCTACGCCTGGGTTCTCAACCAGGGGCAACCTCCCCCCCAGGGGACATCTGGCAATATCTGGAGACATTTCTAATTGTCGCGACGGAAGGGGCGATGCTCCTAGCATCTAGTGGGGAGAGGCCAGGGACGCTGCTGGACATCCCCCACAGGACGGCCCCCACAACACCTCTGCGGCCCAGGGGTCAAGAGTGCTGAGAAGAAGACACCGTGTTCTAGGCTCTGAGCCTCTAGCAGCGGACAAGCCCACGCCCTCATGGTGCGGACCTCCTAGTGGGAAGACACAACAAAAGTGAAAGGAATATAATGGGTCATGAGAGTCATGCAGGAAAACAAAACAGGTCAAAGCAGTGAGAGCCCTGGGGGGGAGCTTTTATAGGCAGGATGGTCAGAGAAGGCCTCTCTGAGAAGAGTCCGTTTGAGCAGAAGGAAGTGAGGGGATGAGACCACGGGATATCAGAGGGAGGAGCCTTCAAGGTGAAGGGGAAAGCTAGTGCAAAGGCCCTGATGCACGCATTGGGAGGCATGTTTGAAGAACAGAGAAGCAGTCAGCATGGCATAAAACTGAGAACTAAGCTGATGTGCGGCGTTGGATATAAAACGCATACGCACACACACACCATGGTTGGCATCAAAACTCTTCCCCCCGCCCCCTCCCACACACACACACACAACCTTCCTGGCTACTCCTCTAGGAAGGCTTGGATAGTCAGGGCCACCCAATGTTTCCCAGCCCCGGGAGGGCCAGTGCTCCAGGAGCCACTGGGTCAGCCTCAGGATGACAGGGAGGACCATTCTGACACAAGAGGGCCAGGCAGGTTCTCAGCCTCATCTGCTCCCACGTCTTTCATACCCACTGGGCCCGGTGAGGAGCGCAAGGTGGGAAGCACTCTCCACGTCCACAGAGGGGAACACAAGGCTCAGTCACTTGGCCCAGGTGACAAGTGCAGTTAGGGGCACAGGCCAGGTCTGTGACCGTTGGCAGTGTGGCTCCTGGAGGTCTGGAGCCGAGTCATGGTCATTTCGGGGTCCCCAGAGGCCAGCACTGGGCTGGACTTGGAGGTGGTGTCCGCGAATGTTGGGGAAATGAATGGATGAATGACACTGCCTCAAGGTGCCTGGCCACCTGCCCACTGCCCCCTGCAGTGCCCGACCACCGGGCCACATCCTCAGTGAGCACACAGCTTCCCCTCTGGGCTGTCAGGCAGAGGGCAAAGGGACATCTCAGGACAGCAGCTGTCCTGATCACCTATCTCCACTCCACTGGCCAACGTCCCCAGGCCAGCCTGGGAGCCCGCAATCTCTCCCCAACCCGAGCAGGCCCTGGGTAATGAGGAGGCAAACGGCAGCCCCTCAGCCTCAAGACTTCCCGGGGCAGACAGACCAGACCCAGCAGGGAGGGATCCCGTTGTCCCCTCCCCAGCAAAGCCAGACTGCTGTGCCCTGCCCGTTCCCATGGGAGGGCACCAAGTGCTCGCCTATCTGCCAGCTGTACTGGCATTTCCTTGTCGAAGACCAGACAAATGAAGGATGCTCGCCACTCCAGCCAGCAAACACAGCTTTTAAAGCAGACAAAAGCCCTGATGGAGAAGGAGTCAGCCACACCTGCAGCCAGCTCAGACTCCCTGGGCGATTTCTGCAAGTCAATCTAGTCACGGCCAACACTACCGAGCGCCCGCTGTGCATGAGGGACCTGGCTGGGGGCCGGGTGGGTGCAGGGAGACAGGCAGGGGAAGGCATAGGGCAAAGAGCTTTGGAATCAGAGGGACCTGCATTGACATCCCCCCCCCCACTAGCTCTGTAATCCTGGGAAGTGTCGAAGCCCCCTGAGCCTCCGTTTCCACATCTCTAAACGGGAACAGCCCACCCGCCTCTCAGGACTTGCTGTAAGGAAGGTTTCAGTGAGATTCTGGAGTGACGTCCCAGCACAGCGCCTGGCACTTGTAGGTTTGCAAAAAACGGCAGCTAATGTGCTGCTAATAATGAGGAGGAAGACCCCGCGGTCCCTGACCCCAAGGAACTTTCCATCTACCAAGGTGGATAACACGCAGCTAGACTAAGAAGCAGAATGCAGTCTGTCCTTGCCCGAGAGGAAGGGCTCTGAGCGTTCAAAGAACAGAAGATCAAGTCCAAGTGGGAGAAGGAGGAAAGCCCTTCCTGAAGGGAGTGGCATTTGCAAAGGCCCTGAGGATGGGGGTCAGGGGTGTGCCACGGAGAGGGGACAGCACAGGGCACACAGATACACGATGACCATGTGTCACAGGGTGAGGGGTACAGATGCAGAGCAGTGGCAGCAAGAACCCGGATACCTCACTCACTCCGGCCTGAGACACGTGTGGGCGTTTCTGCTTGGGCCACTGGGAGCCATGGGAGGCTTCCCAGGCAGGGAGAGAGGCGCTTCAACTTGTGGAGGGCCTCCCCAGCGACGCCACCAAAGAAGGTCAGTGGGAGAGGGGGCAGGGGCCAGGAGACCAGCTCATAGGCTGTGAAGACAAAAGCTGGAGGAAGGAGCCTGAGCTGACATGGGAGCAACGCAAGGGAAACCCCTCAAACGACTCCAGGACCCGGTCTGGTGTCCTGCAGAGAAGCCCTGCGCCTCCCCACCAGGGGCTCACGTGTCCCTAGAGTTCCCTGGGGCCAGATGATGCCCCTCGAGGCCTGAGTCTGTGCCAGGACCCTGCAGTCAGGCTGGGGACCACAGCTGTCCGGATCCACACTCGGCTCTCAGAGCTGGGACTCTCCTGACCAGAAGGCCACCGGGGGGCCTCCTGTTTCCAGGACAACCTCCGGGGCAGCCCTAGGACCCGCCTTGGCACCCACAGTGGGTGAATCAATTCTGGTCTGACAGCCTCCGTCCTCCCTTCTCAAGAACTGGACACTAAAGATGTCCTGAACCTTGGCAAGTGAGTCACCTCACATTAGCAACAAGCCAATGTCACCTCCCACCTTCCTCCCCAGTCCAGATGTCCAGACGAGTCAGCACCCCACGCGTGGGGAAGAATAAGATCACGAGGAAGGGACGAAGGCACAGCACCTCCCCAGCCACGGGGGCAAGGCGGGTGATGCCCCCTATGAAGGAAGAGCACCCCCATGTCCTTCCATGAAACACAAGGAGTTCTCTGAGCCTCAGTTTTCCTTCTCTGTAAAATGGGGTTACTCCATCTCACCAGACCCTGGAGACAGCCAAAAAAGGCAAAGTAGGAGCGATCTCTTTGTAGAGTCCAGCTTGCCACTGTGGCGTGTGCACCTAATATCGAGTAACAGCTCTGGGGTCTCTGCCCTCTCCACCTTCCCGGAGCCTCTCAGAGACCTTGATAACACATCTGCCTTAATAACCAGCCCAGGAGGTCTCACTCATCTCCTCTGTCGCCAGAGCTCAGGCGCCGGCCTTTGGGGCGGTCAGCCCACGGTCACCTGAAGACACTGTCTCCTCCCCACTAGCCCAGAGCCCACTGAGAACAGGCTCTGAAACGGCACACCAGGTGGCTCCCGAGGAAGGGATCTCAGCAAAGGACAGCACGGGAGGCAGCCACAGAAATAAGCTGACTGTGTCCTTATTAGGTGCTCACAGCACACCTGCCCCAGTGCTTTCAGACGCGCAGACCTAGTATTTCTCAGCAAGAGGAAAACGATAGCCCAGAGGAGGAGGAAGCCTTCTGGAGAGGGTGCCCGACATCGACAGTGGGGCAGCGTCCCAGGACGGACACCTGCCTGCCCCGCCGCGGGGTAACGGCGCGGCAACGGAGGGGTAACGGAGCTGGGGTCCAGGGTCTAGCTGGGACACCCCCAGGGCCCGCCCGCCAGCCCCGAGAGCCCGGCCTGCGCTGGAGGAGGGACCGGGGTGCGCCCCGGGCCACGGGGGTCACAGTTCCGGGCCCCGGGGGCATGTCTGCTAAATCCAGGGTCCCAAGCGGCGCGCAGTGCGCGGCTGACCGGGCGCGGGGCGCGGTGCCGCGGGCGCTCCGAACCCCCACCCCTGTCCCGGAGCCCCGGGAGCGCGCGGCTGGGGCCCCCCGGGGGTGGCGCGCCCCAGCCGGGTGGGCAGGAGGAGGCCTCCCGGGGACCGCGCCAGTCACCCACCTGGGCCGGCACGGCGCGCCCCGCGGCCCAGAGCTGCAGTCCGACGGCCAGCGCGGCCCAGAGAGCGGCGGGCGCCATGGTGCGGGCACGACCGAGCGCCGGCGGGCCAGCAGTCCTGGCTCTCGCGCCTCCACCTCCTCCCGGGTCCTCTGCGCCGGGCGCCTCCGACTGAAAGCAAAAGCCGGCGAGCGCGGCGCCCAAGGGAGGCGGGGGCGGAGCGGGGGCGGGGCGGGGCCTGGCGGGGGCGGGGTCTGGCCGGCCTCCCGGACACGCCTCCTTCCCCGCTCCCGCCCCCCGAGCTGCCGGGCGCCCGGGCCCCGACTTGCACCCCGCAGGGCCGAGCCTGGGCCCAGCTCTGCCAACCCAGCGCTGGGTAGGTACCTCCAGCGCCGCCTCGCCCAGCCCTCGGTGACCCCTCAATCTCCTTCTAACGCCCCGTCCCCTTCAAGTCACCCTTCCCAGTGGGAGGACAGGAGCCCCGCATTGGGGACAGGCTCCCACCAGGCCTGTGGCTGCCTCTAGACGTGCCCTGCGTCCACCTACCCCTCCCACCGCCCCCAGGCCCCCCACTCCCGTGGGGGTGGAGCACTAATTGGAAAAATATCCCACAAAGCTGACACTAGCTCTGAGGGGATCACGGGGGTTCTAGATCATTCATGTAGACTCCAGAGCCAGACCACGGGGCTGAATCTCTGCGTTAACCTCACAGAGCTATTCCGAAGATTAAAAGATAGATAATACACATAATAATATATGTTATATACGTATGTATACTTACAAAGTATATATGTAACTTAATAAGCTCTGTATACGCATTAGCTGTTGTTACTATTATTCACTTGTTCATTTATCCTTACACGTTCTTCAGGCCCTTCTCAGAGTGAGCCAGACCCTGCCCTGCCCTCTTTCTTGAGTCCCCTGTCCAGGTGGCTGAGAAGCAAACAGAGGCCAGGGCAGAAAGCTGTCTGGGAAGCTGTGGGGGCCCCGGGGCCACGGCTTTCTTGGACATTCCATCGTGACTGAGCACCCACTCTAACTGCCATCTGCACCCCTTCTCTGAGTGCCAACCCTAACGCAGGGGCCAGCCCTGTGTGCCAGAATGTATTCCCCCAGCCCCGGGAGTCCTTGTCCTCAGCACACAGGGCATTTCTGAGGGGTGGAGTGGGCAAGGTGGCAGGAGCCTATTCTGTTCCCCTGTTCCCTCACTGCAGGCTGCCCCAAAAGGTACAGGGACCCCTGCTCTGGGCCACCAACTCCCGTGTTGGAGACAGCAAGGATGGTGCTTCTAGGTGCTGAGAAACTAGGAAGTGACTCTTGGGGGATGGAAAATCCCACCTCTTGATCAGGAGACTGGAAATCACCTGGTTCCCATACGTCTGAGAGTTGGGCCATGCTGAGGGTGTGGCTAGCACAGTCCACAACCTTAACTCTGCAGAGAGGGCCGGCCGATAAAACCAGCAGGAAGATTTCCTCTGGTCCTTACGAGTCTCACCTAGAAGCAGTTTGGAGGGCTCCCTGTTCCATAAGAGAGAGCCAAAGGCCAGGAGTGGGGTGTCACCCGGTGAAAGGAGGGGCAAATGGTTCTCCTGGGATGTCCCTCACACACCTCAGTCCCAATGGGTCCCACTAACGCATTGTCTCCCATGGGTCCTCATCCCAGTGAATGGCACCGTCACCCCTGAAACATGGGGTCTTCCTGAGGTTCCACCTCCATTCTGACTCTGTCAGCTGGACTCCGAGAGGTGGGTGACAGCCAAGTCAGCAGAGAGCAAGCCCTCTGTCTAGTGATGCTATAAAGGGTATTTACTACAGATAAATTGGTTGTAAAGATGTTGGAGAAGTTAAAAAATCAGTTAGGAGAGGGGAGACGACCCTGAGATTAGCAACAATAAGAAGCCACCGCCATCTCTAGGCTAGAGGTGGTGTTATCAGAGCCAGGAGCCAGAGCATCTGGGGGAATCTGGAACCATAGAGGGTACAGAGCCACCGCAGGTGACACCACATGAAGCAGAGAGGAGGGACATATCCTGGCCTCTCCCTTCCTCCCACTTTGCAATCACCCACCAAGCCGAACCCAAGACAGGAGCTATTTGGCAAGGGAACCTGGGAAATGTAGTTTGCAGGGTCAGCCCACTGGGATAGAGACCAGAGCAGGGCTATGGCGGGGACTGGGCCTGAGCACAGGCAGACAACCAGCGTGGGTCTAAGGAGAAAGTCAGGCTCCTTGTTCAACTTGCTTTGAAGACCTGTCCCTTCCCAGGCTCCTCCTGAAATCTTGGGCAGGTCCTGTCGCTTTTCTCAGGCAAGGAACAACCCTTTGGTCTCAGATGGCAGAGTCCAGTCCTGTCCTGGGAACTCATTAGAGCTCCAATCTCTCATCCAGTGTGGACTTTCTCCCTTCTCCAACCGGACCCAGGCTTGGAACCTGCCTGGGATGGGGAGGACCCAGTGACTTCTCTCTTGACTCTGCCAGATGTGGTTGGGGAGACGGCTTTGGGAGAAAGAGGCACAGTGTTCTATGGCAGCTATAATTGTCATCTTCCTCACATCAGGGCCTCTGGGAGGAAGCTTCTGGATCATTCTCTCTGGGGACGCTTTTGCAGGCATCTTGGAGACCTTCTCACTGATTCCTCTGATCACGGCTCCCTGGCACCAAGGATGCCTGAGCCTCCTGCTGGCCATGACTTATCACATCCTCTCTGTCTCCTGCCTGAATAGTGGTCCTCCAGGCTTCTCCTGCTGAGGCCTCCTTCCCGCGTTGGAAGCACTTTGGGTTAGAGATGGCCCAAGGCTGGCTTCTTCCCTGGAGTCCGCAGTTGCCCTTTCCCTCTGCCCTTAGCAGCCCGGCCCACATCCCATGCACCAGCCCACCCCAGTTCCACTGCCTCAGGCCTGTCTAGCCAAAGGCGCTAACTCACGTCACAGACCTTTATCAAACACCCTGCTGTGGGCCAGCCCTGGGTGCTGTGCACTCAGTGAACAAAGCAGACAAGAACCTCCCATCAGTGTTGTGGTGCCTAAACTCCCACAATCTCAAGCTCTCTGAGTGATCCCTTGTGGCCCCTCCAGCTGGACCGAGATAGAGGGAAGCCCCCCACCCCCAGAGGCCACAGTGGGCACTCAGCACAATGGCGACTCCCTCCCCAAAATCCTTTCTCTTGGCTTCTCCAGCCCCAGCATCTTGTTTAGGCTGGGATGGGCAACGGCAAATGCTGGGTGAACCATTTAACAGTGGGTCTCTTAGCATGACCTGCGCAGGTGGCCCAGAACTCTCTCCTCAAGGTGGTGTTTGATCTTGGCACCCACCATATTGTACCTGCCATTGGAGAATCTGGTAAAACTAAGTGACAGTGCGAGGAGTCCCTTTAACACCCTGCCCCAGTCTCGATCACCTGGCCGCTCTCCTCCTGCCCCACAGCCCAGCCCTGGCTTAGGCCTTGGTCATTTCTCACTTGCGATGCTCCAGTGGCCTCCCAACTGGAAGGCTCTGTCCTTCCAATCTGTTCTCCGTGGTGTGGCAGGGCCAGCTCTCAACAGCATAAGGCAATCATGTCATTCTCTCTACTCCAGTAGTTCTCACCCACGGGGCAATTTTGTCCCCTGCCCCCCAGGACTATTTGTCAATATCTGGAGACACTTTGGGTTGTCACAATTGCAGGGGGTATAGGGAGGTGCTACTGGCATCTCGTGGGTAGAGACCAGGGATGCTGCTAAATATCCTAGAATGCACAGGACGGCTCCCACAACAGAGAATTATCCAGCCCAGAATGTGGGTGGTGCCGAGGCTGAGAAAGCTGCCCTAGCCCAGGGCTCCCCACAGCCTTCAGAACTGAGCCCAGCCTCCTGGGCGAGATGCTGGAGGCCTTCACGTCCTGGCCCAGCCTGCCTGCCACGCGGATCTCCCCAGCTTCACTCTCACCACCCTGGACTCCTTGAATAACCCCGAGTTCCGTCCTCTGTGCCTTCGTCCACACAGGTTCCTCTGCCTGGGATGTCTTTCCCTCCTGTTGGCTTGGTGATCACCTACTTGTCCTTCAAGTCAAAGCCCAGCTATCTCTCCTCTGTGAGACTTGCCCTTAACCACACGCACCGAGCCAGGCAGGGGTTGGCACTTCCACAGACCTTTAGCATGACACTCACCTCCATATGGTTAGTCACTTACATGTTCCTCTCCTCTCTTAGTAATTGCGATACTCACAGTTATGGGAAGTGTACTCTGGGCCAGATGACTTGCCGACGTCGTCTTGCAACAGAGGGGTCAAGCTTGGTAGTAAGCGTACGCGGCTAGTAAGGGGTAAGCAATTCAGACCGAGTTTGGCTGTCTGCACAGCCGAAGAACTCTTCTCAGCCGCTGCCTCTCACACTGCTGGACTGCGTGGGCCTCAGGGCGGGAGGACTCAATCGTGGCCCCCTCTATTTCCCTGGGGACCAGGTGATACACAGAGGGAGCGGTTCAGTAAAGCTGAAGTGAATGAGGACTATGGACAGGACCAGTGTGTGCAGGGGGCAAGAAAGGGGTGAAGAAGCGAGTGAGTCAATCAATGAATGAGGAAGTGAACGAGTGGATGCTAAGGTCGAGGCCCACGAATCCAGTCCAGCCCCATCACTTCCAGGCCGTACCCACTCAATCTGGTCTCCCAGGCCGTGCAGTCTTAGACCCCAGCCCCATGAGGCAGAAAAAGCCCACTTGGGAAGATGAACAAACACATGGAGAAGGCGAACCGATTAGTGGTTCCCAGAGGGGGAGGGGGCGGGGGGAGGACGAAAGGGGTAAAGAGGCACATGTATATGGTGACGGATAAAAACCAGACTATTGGTGATAAACACGGTGCAGTCTATACAGAAACTGAAATAGAATAATGCACACCTGAAATCACACAATGTCATCAACTAATATGACCTCAAATAAATACATAAGAAAAAAAGAAAAGAAAAAGCCCACTTGCTCTTTGGTGATGGGTAACAAACAGGCATCCAGCAGGCAAGACCACGGCCCGCTGGTCCCCAGCTCCGGGGCTGCATGCACAGTGTCTGTACCCTTGTCCTGGAGCCTTTCCTTACCTCCCAGCGCAGCCCGGAGGCCTCAGAGAGCCCTCCACCATCTCACCCACCCGGCAAGCTGATGACTGTGCTTTGCAAACAGGTGTAGACGAAGGCTCAGCCGCAGCAGGCATCA